GAAATGGTGATCGACAAAGATAGGGGCAAGAATATTCCTAGATATTTGGTGTACGACGTTATTATGTACGACGGACAGGATGTTAGTAAATTACCGTTCCACCCTGATCGTTATTCCATTATCGAAAACAAAATAATCGCCGGCAGGCTAAAAGCTATGAAGGAGGGACGATTGATAAAGGAACGCGAACCGTTCTCGGTGCGAGTGAAGTATTTCTGGGACGTGACGCAGAGCAAAAATCTGTTGGGCGAGAAATTCGCTAAGCAGCTCTCTCACGAACCGGACGGCCTGATATTTCAACCCGCCAAGGAAAAGTACTGCACGGGAGTATCCGCGGAGGTTTTAAAATGGAAACCGTTGTCGTTAAACTCGGTAGATTTCAAACTGAAGATCGTCACGGAGTCGGGCGTGGGGATCCTGCCGCGGAAGATCGGCCATCTCTACGTGGGAGGACTGAATAAGCCGTACGGCAACATGAAGATTACCAAGCAGATCAAAGATTTGGATAACGCGATTGTCGAGTGTAAATTCGAAAACGGCCAATGGATCTTCATGCGTCAACGAATAGACAAGTCGTTTCCCAATTCCGTAACGACCGCCGAATCTGTGTGCAAAAGCATCAATAGGCCGGTTACGAAGGAGCGGCTTTTGGATTATATTGAGAAGTACAGATTTGCACGGGACGACGCGGATCTTATGCCACCACCAAACAAAAAACCAAGATAATCCTAGATGCGTTATATCATATTATTAATCATAAATGTATTGCAATTTTTACAGTTTCAACAATTGTATCATGACTCGATTGTTGAGAAATGAAGACTTTCCGAATAATCTATATTTATTTAATTAGAATGTAGGCAGTTTAAGCTCAAAGGTACTTTGACTTAATTTTAGGCAGCTACGTTCTGTAGCTACGGTCACTTCGACCTGATTTTTTAGGAATGTTAAATAGGTTGAATAATGCATGGTAACGTTTTAGAATAAAGAGCAGTATGTAAGAACAACAACTATGGATCCCAACGTTTAGTTTTGTGTCAAACGTGCCGTTCTTAATCATGATTGTCTTTCCATCAGGTTATTTTAATTTGTTTCAGTGTATCATACACATTTGTTTCATGTAGCATATTTTGATGAATTGAGATTATTAATTGTTGAATAAAAAGGACTTTGTAATAACATATTCACGCTTTGTGATTATTTATCCTACATTATTTAATTAATGGAATAGTAAAACATCGATCACGTATTTATTTGTCAGTCTTTTCTAGATTAATATTATTTTTATAATAGAGTCGATATTTTTCCGAATTAATAGTAGAACTTGAAAAAAAGATTTTTCATGAAAAAAATAAATGAAAAATATAGAATAAAATGATATATATTGTTTCTTCGAGAAAAATAATTTAAAAAATCGGAAAATACTGCATAACACGTAGTTAAGAATTCTTTTATGTGGCACAAATTCATCCTACTTACTTGCATATTTTGCATTATTGCAGATCGTACCGTATTGTTATGGTACGCGAAGGACTTCACGTCGAAAGATCGCAAGTCTCTGCGCGTTAACATAGAATTCGATCACGCAACATTGATACGCTGGTCCCCGGATGGAAAGGCATTCATTATTCACAAAGGTGTGGCTAATGCCATCGAGGTGTACAAGATCGCGAAGAAACCGGACGGTCATTT